TCCATCCGAACATTAAAGCTAACAAGATAAAGATGATATCAAGTCGGATCATCTTAATGGCTTGGAACAAGTCAATGAAGGGAGATAAGATATTCAACTTCTTCCCATCAGTCGGTTCAAACCGTTTTTCTTTAGAGAAGAGACAAGTCGGAAGAACAGTCACAGCTACCGTCGCACTACTAATAGCAAACATGATCAAAAACATGTTGTTGTTACCGACTGTGCCCGCGGAAATACCATAACAAGCAGCAGAAGCAAATCCACAGCACGCATTAATCATTAAGTTGGCATCTTGCTGATTTTCAGCATCGAAGATATCAGAGACAATGGCTCGTGAAGGTCCTTGCATCAAGTTGACACCAGTAAATGCGACAAAGAGGCCAAAAAGTGCCAAGAAAGCACCAACCAAGTGATTACTGAATGTATCTTTCACGGTAGAACTTGATTGAATGCTTGCAGAGAATGATGAGGAGGATTCATCGACTAATGCTTTATCAATGAATGTCGACGCAGCAATAATACCCATCCCAAGAACATCAATGAATGCTCCGACAGCTAAGAAGATTCTTCTTCTCCCCCAAACAAAGGTGCAACGATCACCAATGGCACCAAAGATGGGTTGTACGAAAAATCCAATCAATGGACCAACTAACATGAAAATAACATTCGTCCCCGCAGAACTCATTTTGAATTGTGTGCTGAAAAGGGGACCGGCTAAACTGAAAATCGCCGAGTAGGTAAATTGAATACCTATTTGCACAAAACTCGCCATTAACAGCTTCACATACAACAGAACACTCCTCGGCGCCATAACTCCTTGAACTTTTTCAGTTTCTAATCTTTATATTCGCCGAAAAAGTTTCTGTTTGGTGTGGCAGGGATACTATTACTTTATATTAAAATACTACATTAAACTATAATAATGTCGCGATGGAATGCTTGTTTTTCGGGGGAAGTCGTCTTCAAATTTGAGGGTTTTTTAATTATATTTTACAGTTCGAAAATAAAAGTGTTTCATAGGCACTTCATTCTTTTTAAAAGAGTTGTTGTTACTAATATAGTTTTGTGGTGAATATTTTAATCATTATAACATATATTCAATCCATATTTTTCGAAATGCCGATAAAAGACAATTGGCGAACAATACAACCCAAATAAAGTTTAACAAGTCATTTTAAACTTGTTTTTTAATTTCACAACAAAATAATGTTTTTTTATTAAAAAAATCATTTTTTTACAATCTTCATAGAAAAGACTTTTCAAAAAAAAAGAAAGGCAAGGGAAAGTGGTTTACTATAAAGTATAGTTTTTTTAATTAAAGAATAATTATTTTAACAAGCGACAAAAAATAGCCAATTAGCGAAAAAATCAAATACGATTGAAAAAGACTATGATAAGTCTTTTTTTTAGAAATAACTTTTTATGTTTTTTCAAAAGATTTCTTGTTTTACGAAATTTCTATTTTCTAGAAAAAGAGATGTGATTCGACTTTTCTTCAATTAAAAAAATATAATAAAAATATAATTGGTTATTAGTTTCATAATTCACAAAAAAAAAATTGAACGATAATTTTGTGAAAAATAATGCTCCGACATACTGTGACGGGACAATAAATTTTATGATGAGAGACATTTAATTTTATCAACTCGTTGATATAATAAAATTAAACCATACAAATAATAAAAAGAACCAAAAACGAATACAAAACATGTTGAGATGTGGAAAGTAATAGAATAGATCAAACTATTCAATACTCATAAGAAGAGTAGTGGCCATTTCTTGATCGGTGATTAAGTTCAAATCGATTGCGTTATATTTTTCAGGAGGAATATCATCTCTGAGTTCAATGCCAAATAATTTGAATTTTTCAATCACATCTTTGTTCACACCAATAAGTTTCTTCTTTTTCTTCTCTTGGTAATTTTCATTCGAACTCTTCACAAGAGCGGCGATGTCATTATTTGTTGTTGGACGATGTAACATTTTGTCTGCCTCTTTTTCTATATCGACGACAGAAATACTCAGTGTCGTGTGTTTCTGACAAACATCACAAAATAAAGTGACTTCATTCGCATTAAATTTGGGGTGCGTCACTAAACAATTCGAGCAGATGTACCGCTTCCCACTACAACAATTTAAACAATTCATGCCTTGCCGAACCGTCTCAAAACAGATCATACACACTTTATCGTCTTCACAATACGGGTCTTCGGTGGGGTATATCGGTGCTATCTGTTTGGTGCGTATGAGTTTCTCTATACGACCCTTTTTGATATCGACACGGAGTTCCGTGTGGGATGGAAGACTATATTTCTTCACATCAAGCTGCTTCCTGAGTGCATCAACTTGTTGTTTGTGTGGATCTTTTATGTGTTCTTTTCGGTGAAACAACCCAAACATGTTTGATAGTTACTCCACACACATTTAAATTCCGTTTGAGGTGGTGTTATATTTAGAAGCCATTTATCACTCATTTGACACCACGACTGTACCAGTCCTGAGTAATACTTGTTTTTTATATTTTCTTCGGCATTCATAGTTTTTAATTACTAAAATGACTTCTACACTGTTATTATATTCTCTATCATATCATTGAATTCGTTTGTACAGGATGTGTTCTATAATTAAATGACTAAAATCGAAAAAAGAAATAATAACTAATGGTACACAATACTATAAAATGCAGCAGACCATTTATTGTTGTGGTATTTTTAATTTTTACCACAAAAAAGAAGTGAAGTTTGCTTTGATTTTTGATAAACGGGATTGTTCGATAATTTTATTTTGGTATAATTGAGATAAAAGGGTTGAAAAAAATTAAATATATTTCAGGAAAAATATATTATTAAAATTATTAACCACATTTCATTGTTACATTTACTATTTATATAGTAAAATAAGCATATTAATAATATAATTATTATTGTGTTTTTTTTTTATAATTTTTATTATATTTTAATAGTTTGAAATGAT